ATTGATTAATAAGAGTTCTGTACTTACTAGCCAGATAATGCAAATTAAATGAAATTAAAATGAAGTATGGCACACTGGAATTATTAATACTATCGTTTAACTCTGAAAACTCAATATTTGAAAATAGAATATTCTCCATATTGACATACTCGGTTATAACTGGTTTTCCAAATATGGGGTTTCATTTCCATAAATCACAAAGAAGGTTATTCACATATTTGAAATTTTTTTTTACAAGCTCTGGATCAATGATTTTATCTTGTGAATTAAGATGAGAACTATAATTGTCCACAGGTAGAACTATACCCGCAAGCTTGCTTGAAAGTGATGCCATAATTCTTTCAACAGGGTTGTATGCCAATTAACCTGGAGTAATTTATAGGACAAATAATATTTAGTTTGCTAGTTAATTAATATTATAAATTTGATCAATTACTATTTATACTAATTCAAATTAAAAAATTCAGCTTGATGAATAGTATTTGATTTATGCTATTCAGAAATTTGAATTTTTTAATTTGGACTAGTGTTTTTGAAAAAATTAATTAATTTTATTTGGTTAAAGTATTTAATCAACTAACTAGTTTACTAAATAATTTGACAATTTTAGATCACTAATCTGGAGCATAGGTCCTAATAGTCAAGTAGTCTAAATTAAAAAAATAGAACGTTTTACAATATTGGTAAATATTTTTTAGATGACGGGGGTTCTTGTCTGGACCTTCATCTACAATAAGGATCCAGATGGGTCTAATTTTATTATCAATCTTTAGCCTATTGTCAAAATAGCTATTATTTACTAATGAATATAGATCGCTCATATGCATTATAATACTTGTCTCTGTTTCATATTGCGAACAGATATATATTAACAATTGGCTGCTTCTAAGTACGTCATTTGTGTCATTCAAATCAATCAAGAGATAGACAGAGGAGATAAGTTTTTGTTGTGAGCCAACAAGAAAGTTATGATCTGGAAGAAGTGTTGGCTCATTAGCACTTTGAATAGCTTTGAAAGTTTTGCCAACTGCAGGAATACCAAGTGGAATTTTGGCTTTGTCATTCTGTAACATAATTACCGAAAAGGTTAAAAACAGAGCAGCAAATTGTCTTGCCATCTTGACAAAAGCAAGACAATAATGACTATCCTGATGTTCTTTTATTTCATTTCTTGAGACAGATACAATCTGAACTAACAATTATTAATAAATAAAAGTAAGGAAAGTATGAGTATACTAAATAAAAAGTTAATTTTAAAATTTTATTATTTTATTTTTTTTAACTTATTATACTAGATTAAAAAATATTTAATTTCTAATTTTACATATAAATAATATCAAGAAAAAACCATACTTCAATTATATAAATTTAATATGATCGAAGCCTGGTTTTCTCTGGTTTTCTCTTGGTGTTATCTATATATTATATATGAATGTGCTAAAAGAAAACTTGATAATTTAAATATATTATATTTAAATTTTTAGGGTTTTTTTTAGCAACACTTATATGTATTTTTTAAATTATATGAGGACAAAATATGAATATTTAAACATATATAATTCAGAAAAGATTTTGAATATCAAAATATATTAACCTGAATATTGGTCAGATGATGATGCTTTTTTGCCGCAATAGAATTTTGATAACATAGCAACAAGTAATTGCATACAGTAGTATAAGAGAGATGTTTATCATATTTTTTTTCTAATTCTTCACGTAGATGGTTTATAGTTCTAATTTTTATTGTTTCTTTCCTCCTTTTGCTATCAGCAACCCCAAACTCTATACTTTTATGAATTTGTTCAGGTAAGTCTGGATGCTTGAACAATAAAGGAGAATACCCAGATGAATCATATTTCACTACCTGTTGATTTTCTTGTAAGTCCTTTTCTTTGTTTCACAATATTTCTGTTGATATTTGGCTCTTTTTTAAGGGTTTAAAGTTTTTTAATTTCATTACAAAGAGTTTGTTTAAAGTCACGTATGCATTCTATTAATTTAGACTTGACCTCCTGATCAGTTGTTATGTTATAGAGTTTTTGATATTTTTCAATTTTACTATTTATTTTAACAATAGCTTCTGTTGCCTTATGCTACGTTGCAGCATTTGGTAGTAGTATATCTGGGGCAGCAATTTCCTCAATTATTTTATTTTAAACTGAAGAAGCAGCAATGAAATTTTTAGCAGGGACTAGGTTTAGAATAGTAGAGATAGTATTGTCAATTAAGCTTGCTATAATATTCTGAATCTCATACTTAGGCTTGAATTTAATAGTTTTCCACATATTATTGGATTCTTCACACACAACTCCCTTTGGATATTTTGAATTCTCTATGATAACCATAAGGCCGTATGCAAATACATTACAGAACTCCTTATATTGAGTATCTTGGACTTTATAAATGTATAACTTATTGTATCCCAATGTAGTTGGCATTTACATTTCAAGAAGGTAAAAAAAAAAGTAAAAAAAGAAAAAAAATAAAGCAAAAGAAAAAATCAATTTTATAGTATAACAAGTTGATATAGTAGAATTCGGTTATATTTATAGCAGATAAAGCAATCTACTAAAAATTAGCTATGTTTCTTGCTAATTATTTGCAATAGAAGTTTGTGCAATTGTGAAGCGATTCTATTTATTCAAGTTCAGGAGGTAATTATAACAATATTTGGTTCGTGTCTGTAGGTCTTATGTTTTTGTGCAATGTACTTTATTATTTTTTATATAATTTTAATTTTAAAACATTTTACATTATTACAGATGAAAAACACTTAAATGCTATATTTGATGCATATAAAGAAAATCTACTTTAAAAAAAAAAATTTTAATAATTTAACGAACAAGGATATTACAAATTTATATTTGATATATCCAAAAGAATTTATATTATAGTTGTTTTCAAAATGGTTGAGAATAACAAGATTTTTAAAAATATTTTTTTTATATGAAAACCTAAAAACCTGACAACCCGATTAGTTTAGAACAGTGATCGATTTCTGATATACATAAAACTCAAGTAATTGTTATCAATAAACAATTATATGATCAACTCCTGTTCAAATAAAGTGCATTATGATACACTTGTATAACTATCAGATGATTGTACTAAACAGAAGTTGGTCATATAATTGTTTATTGATAACAATTATCTGAGTTTTACATAAATTAAGAATCGATCATTCTAAACTAATCGGGTTTTCGAGTTTTCACATAAAAAGATATTTTTTAAAAATCTTGCTATTCTCAATTATTTTGAAAATAGCGATAAATATATCTGTCTTTTATTTAATATAATGGATGCTATTAAACTTGTATTCAATATATCTGAAGAAAATTTGTTTTAAGTTATACCTATATTTAATATAATTCATTAATTTTTCTTAATAGTTTAACAAGTACTCTGCAAAATCAAATTTTGAATCAAATATTTGATCAAATTTTTAAAAAATTTGATCAAATATTTGATTCAAATTCAAATTTTGATTTGATTTTGCAAAGTACTAAGTTTAACAGATAGGGTGTACAGCTAAACATGTCTGGAGAATATTGCAAAAAGACTTAATTCCTTAAAACAATTAAATGGCAGGAGACACTGCATATTTTATATTCGATAAAATTTGAGAAAACAATAGAATACTGCCTGGCTTTAACCCAAAAAGGAAGTAACTGTACTATCTTGTACCAACTTTGTGTTTGTTTTAATTTATATATATAACTCGACGTTCTTTTGGAAATTTATTTCTACATTGCTCTTATTTTTTTAACAATGTGTTGTTATATTATAAAAAGCTATTAGAAATAATTTTGTTGTATATACAAAGACGAATATATTGCTATAGTTAACTCACTTTTTTGGACTTTCTTGATTTGGCGTACAACAGATTTAGTTCGAAAATTAAATACTTAATCTGTAATGTTGATATTTTAAACCAATCCGTGTATACTGCAATAAATTTATTTTCTTTAATTCAATAATTTTCCTATTTTTTAATAATGCCTGAGTGTTCTTCATGTGAATTCTGGTCACATGTCACAAGATCACAGAATTTATCGATTTGGTTTAAATAGATCTGCTTTAGAACTTTGCACTGTAAAAATTTAATTTTTTTTTTTAATTTACGGGTGTTACAATTTTTGATAAAATTTACAATACTTATCAAAAACTTCCTATCAGTACCAATAATTTATTATCAGTACCAATAATTTATTATCACTAATAAACTTATTATATTTATCATTGTGCCATACTTCATTTTAATTTCATTTAATTTGCATTATCTGGCTAGTAAGTACAGAACTCTTATTAATCAATATACCTTATATTGATTAAAATTAAAAGTTCTTTTGGTTTAGGCCGCAGATAAACTAGTCTGAGTTTCTTTTCTTGCTATCTTAGGATATAAAATTTAAATAGATTTTTTTTTTCTCTGTAAGGATTTCCTTTTCATTGTAGAAGAATCAAATTAAATTTTAATAAAGTTAGAGACATGGTCT